GACTTGCTTTGTGAGTGGGAGGATGCTTGTGAAGATCTGATACTGGTGTGTGGACTTTAAGAAGCAGAACAGCCCTGACTCCTACCTAAAACAGTTATTCAGATTACTAATACAGGGTCATTTCTGACCGAAAACCAGGGGCTGTGTGTCTTGTTCCCCCATTCTCTCCTGCTCAGCCCAACGTTGGAGCGCATCTCTTCATAAAGGCTTTCAGGCCCTTCTTTCAACAGGAGCAGTGCAGCAAGTCCCAGGTTTTGCTGCCTTCTTGTTTTCTTGCATGGAGACAGGGGGGATTGCTGCTTTATTGACGTGGCTCCAGCAGCAGGATTTGGCTGGGCTCTGGTTGCAGAGGCCGCGGTTCACCACAGAACATTCCTTTGTGGAAAGGTGCTGCCCCACCTTTGGAGCTGAGGTTTCTCTGGGTGCTTTTTTTAAAACTCCCGTGACTTGGGCTCAACAACAACAACAAAAACAACCCTGCTTGTGGGTTGAGGAGGAGTTCCATGGCCCAGAATGGCAGCATCCCAAGTCAGAGCGGGGCTGTGCTCGCAGGGGCTAGTGCTTTCAAATGGAGGAGGATGGGGGAATGCCTACACTTGAGCTCCGTTGTCTCAGGCAGATGTAATGCTTTCGGGTGGTGAATCCTTCTTTAAAAGGAACTGACCCAATCTCCTCTCCTGTGCTTGCTAAACACAAGATCAAGCTGCTGAGGCAACTGGGGAGGTGGCATTTGGGGAGCAGTGACTGCATGGGGTGATCGGAACTGCTGTTCCTAGAGGTGGAAATGGGTTTGTAGGTCGAGGTGTCCACATCTGGCTTTGAACCAGGGTGCAATTTTAGACACAGGCCTTGGGTAGGACCAAGGGCTGAGGACAGGCACTGTGCCACCCACTGTCACCAGACCCATTTCTGCCCCGTTGCTCCACACACTTCATGTCAGCACCCTAACCCGGTGGGTTGGGTGTTGGGAGAGCAGTGTTGGGCCATGTTTGCTCAGTTACTGATGAGCAGACAAGAGGATGGCTTCTAACTTTGTGTTTGCTCCCATAGATACGTGGGGAACCTGTCAAGAGATGTGACTGAAGCGCTGATCCTCCAGCTCTTCAGCCAGATTGGACCATGCAAAAACTGCAAAATGATAATGGATGTAAGAGCCTTCACCTAACGGGTTTCATGCTTATCACAGCTCATGGCCTTGGGTTATGCGTGCATGTTTTGAAATTCCACTGGAAATACAGTTAACGGGATGTAATAAGGTTGGAGATCACAGTCATGCCCTTTTGCCATCATTTCTGCCTTGTGTCTGGTGTTAAATGTAAGGATGGGTGGATATTGTGAGAGGAATGATGATGTTCATGCATGTGGGTGTCATAGAGGAGATAGATGGAGAAAGTTCTTTGCCATACTTTAACCTTTCTAAAGCAGAATTGAAACTTCCTGGAGCATCATTAGTGCACTCACTGGGGTCACTGTGTAAAGTAAGAGGGCCTGTCCTCTCTGAGCTGTTTAGGGGTAATGAATAAGGAGCTGAGTAGAGCAGTGAGAGGAGAGTTGGAAGAGGGTTGTATCAATGATCCTTTGTGTCTTTTATCAGACGGCTGGAAACGATCCGTACTGCTTTGTGGAGTTTTATGAGCATCGGCATGCGGCTGCAGCACTGGCTGCTATGAATGGCCGGAAGATAATGGGTAAGGTAAGCTGTCATGTCTACAGGGTGAGTTGGAGTTGAAGAAACAGGCTGTCTCAGGTGGTGTGGGTGAAATACCACTTGAGACAAAGTGGATACACTGCAAATATTAGGCACTTGGTTTGGGCAAAGGGCTTAACGTGACATGACTGAGAGCAAGCTGTTGAGACTTATTATGGGAAGAACAACACAAAGGTGGGGATGTAGAACTAGAGACAGGGGATGCAACAAGTGTTTTATTAGAGTTATCAAGCTTATCAGCATAATGTTCCCTCTCCCCCTGCAAAAAACCTACTCAGCCAAAGCAAATCCCAGAACAAAGTCTACTTCCTGTCTTTGCTTTTAACCAGTGAAACACAGTTTGACAGAACAAACCCTTTCCCAAGAAATGCATCTTAAACTTGAGCTTCCACCCCAAACTTGCACAGGTTCTGCTGTCCTTGTAGCATCAGAACAAAGTGCTGGGGGTGTCTGAGCTTAGCTGAGATTTGTTTGATCTAACGTGATTAACTAATGCTTGCAGGAGGTTAAAGTCAACTGGGCGACGACCCCCAGCAGCCAGAAGAAAGATACCAGCAGTAAGTGTTGCTTGTGCTTTGGGTACATACTTGATTTCTATGAGTAGTTTTTAAACATAAGCAGTAAGCATCCTGCAATTAGAAACAATAATGTTTTGATCATAATCCTAAGATATTATTGCATGTGTTTGTGTTAATAAACTTAAGAACAAATCTAATCTTTGTCATCAGGTAGTACCGTTGTCAGCACACAGCGTTCACAAGGTAATTGTGTCTTCTTAAACATAAAGTGAAATGTCGCCAGGGTGTTCACTAACCACCTGAAGCTCTCTATGGGGGGTTGTGTTCCTAAATTGATTTCTTTTGTTTTATGGAAAGACTTCCTTTTCATTTCCCTGTAGTATCAGAAAGCAATTTCATGCCACTGTTCCATTCTGGTGCTAATGTCTAGCAGTTTGTTATGAGTGTAGTAGTTAAAGCCACAAAGCCCCTTATCCCCTGCTGTTGAGGCAGCTGGCTCACTGTGAGGTGTGTGCCTCTGCAGACAGGCTCCTCAGGAGTATCTGGACCTCCAAAATGGAGTTCCATTGCTCACAGCAAGCCTGTGGATTGCTGCTTTTCCTGGTCAGCTTTGAATTTCCATAGGCCAGTGGGGCTCACCTACATCAGCATCTGAGCAGGCTGGAGAGTTTCATACCTGCCATGGTACAAAGAAGTCTGCGTATCACTAGGATAACGTGTGACACACTGATTGTAGTGGAAGACACCTTAGATGCAGGACTTTAGGTTTGCTTTAGTGCATGTTTTTAATGGCTCTGATCCAAATTGAAGGGATCCCTGTTTCCATTCCCCTACTTTCAGCCTTAGTTCACTCCTGGATTCACAGCCATTGAATTCCATGGCGTGTTGGCTGGGCAACCAAAACTGGCTTTTGAGAACTCAAACTTCTTTTAACAGCAAACTGTTGGCAATGCAAGGTCGTTTTTTGAGTTGTTCTTCATTCACCTCTGGTGTTAACCTGGACGTTGTGGCCAGGTTCAAAATGCTCTGGAACAAGAGTTACCCCTATCCTGAAACCTCTTTGAATCTCCTGCCGTGTCAAAGCATAATACTAGTGTACGAAGAGAAAGATCCTCCTGTAGTCTTGACACATTCAATAGATAGTTTAAGACTAAAGAATAGTTTTAAGGTTGTACAGTAAAAGCTGGTTGGTCTGAAAAGCAGTTCGTAAAATACAAGCCATAAATGCCACGTGTCGCTGTAGTAGCCTTAAAATCCCTGCCTGAGCACTGCCAAGCAAAGGATCTCTTAGGAACAGCATTCAGTTTGTTTCATGGTAAACTCTAGTCTTCATGTAGTTGTCAGTCGTAGCTGGGAAGTGCGTTCAGGTGCCACCTTCAAGCATTAATAATCCCTTTTTTTTGTCTCTTTTTGCCCCAAAAGACCATTTCCACGTCTTTGTCGGAGACCTCAGCCCCGAAATTACAACCGAAGACATAAAAGCAGCTTTCGCACCGTTTGGAAGAATATCGTAAGTCATTTCTTAGGGCATATGAAGTCAAAGTTTCTCTCTCCTAAATGGAGGCAGCCTTATGTTTCAGTAAGTAAAACAGGAGAGTTGGTGCAGTGCAGGATTCACCTCTTCATCCAGCGGCTTGAGTGTGAGCGATCGGGCGTGAAACAGGGACCTGGAACCCAAAGCCTTTAGAGCAGTTTGTTCTGCTTTCCTAGACAGGCTGCATCCAACTTGCTTTGGTTTTATACTCCTTGCCTCATCTGGCAAAGCAGTGCCAAAACAACCTGACTCCTAAAGCTGGGGTTTGCGTTCCCCTCTTGGTGATCACATCAGCACCACGCTGTACAGTCCGTGACCGAGTCCATGTGCACGTTCATGTTGTGTGAGGCTTTAGTTTCTTTGTTAGCCGTGGTGTGCCAGCCACCCGTAGCCAAAGTTTAATTCCCATTTCCCACAGAATGAACCTTTTTTAGCACCAGACTCATTGGGGCACTCAGAGGCTGCAGTTAGAGTGGCCTCAGAGCGTTTGGCGCTGGGTCAGTGTAAGCCTTTGACCCGAAGGGCTCAGCCAGAGCCATAGGGCATCTCGGGTCAAGGACTGCCCTCATCCCAGCAGTGCTGAGTGATGGTGTAGCAAGTGAACGTGTTGCAAAGGGGGAATGGTGCTCACAGGTCTCCACCTGCCAGTTTGTTGTATTGAGGGTGTAGCTGAGTAAGGAGCGGTTCGTTCATTCCATCCTCCAAATGTAAACCATTAATTTTCCTTGTAGTGTTGTCTGTACTGGACATTGAAGTTTCTTGATGGTGATGTAAGAGAACATAGAATGCTTTGGAGTGTTGGGTAGTGAACATTTAATTGAAGTAAGTTTGTTTTTTGTTTGTCTTTTTTCCCCCTCAGAGCCCAGTGTATTACTCTTGTAATGCCAGCTTGATTTCCTCTTATGATAAGGTTTTGAAAACAAAATGTGATCTGAATGTGACTTGCTTCAGACAACTATAATGCTTGACTGCATCTTTTGTAATTGTCATCTAGGAAGTGCAGAGGGTTGGACTCCTAAGGAGAGTCACTTTATCCTCTGGCCAGATGTAGTCTGGATGGAAGGGATGAAGGGCTCTAAAGTCAAGCTGAGCTGCTGGAATGAGTGTGAGAGGGAGGCAGGAATAGGTGGGACTGCGGTGGAGCTGTGAGAGTTTCCCCTGCCCAAGCCAGCGCTGGGTGTCTGAGGTTCAATGGACAGTCACCCTTAACTGTCTTTAAGGGACAGTAACCCTTAAATGACCCCCCAAAAACCCCAGACCCCCTCCTGAGCCTAAAGCAAAGCTGAATGTTGGCTGGGGGAGTATAAAATCACAGTGAGCATCAGCCCGTGGTCCAGATATGTGGGGCTGTGGCTGTTGTCCCATCTTTTCTAGCAGAGCTTTTTGGACACAGAGCTGTTGCTACATGCTGGTGACAGGGAAGGGCGAGCGATGCTCTTGCTTACGGTGGGGCACTTGTGGCTTGCCCTGCCTCATCCTGACTCTCCAAAGTGAAACTCAAGTTCTTTTCCTCCCCCCCTAAAGCAGCAGATTAAGTATTAGCTCTGCAATGACTCTTTAGAACTCTTGTTCCAAAAGCGAGGGGTTAAATAAAGCCAAAGATTTTCTACTTGTTCAATTTTAACCAGGAAAAACACTGCTACTGTCTCTTAAGTGGTGGAATGAAGCTACTTGACTTTTCCTGTTCTTCATCAGTGCCTGGTTTCTGGAAATGTGGTGCTAATGGAATATTTCCTGATCATTTTTTCTTTCATGACTGTTTTTGTTAACATTGTTGGTGCTAAACTCCGCTTTTTGTTCTCTTAATGACACCGTGGTTGAGCTACTGCATGATTAGCCCATAAGACCTGTTGGTAATTCTTTGCATCTGGGGGTTTTTAATCACTGTAAAAGCACACTTTCATTGTGGTTTCCTTTTATGCTTGCTGTACGCATGTTTTCACTTGTTCTCAAGTCTTTTATTTTCAACGTTTTCAGTTGAGGGTAAGTAGAGATGAGTTTTTCCCCCCTCTCCCTCTATAGGCTCTTCAGAGCAAACCCAGCTAAGATAAGCAGAGCACCTCTTCTCAGGGAATTTGTAGCCTATGACCCAAATTCTAACCTAACCCAAGAAAGGGGGAAGAAGACAGGGGGAAGGGGCAATGGGGATCTCACCAAGAGAAGGGAAAGGACATTTCTGCTGTAGCTTTGGGTGAAGTATTTTCCTGGGAGCCTTTGGTGATGGTGTCAGTGCTGTGGGCTGAATTAGACTTAAGATGCAGCATTTCCAGTTACCATAAGGCTTAGAAAAGCTTAAACCCTCCACCCTGAGCGTAACAAACCTCTTCATTGTGACTTTCCTTGCCAGTCTCTAAATGCTAAACATTGTGCACATGTTAACACTAGAGTTTCTCTACCCCCCCCTCCCCCAATATTTTATACAGTAAATGACATTGCATGACTTTCTGACTGGTTTTATGTTGTTCCCGTTCTTTTCATGCCTGTCTGTGTGGGGCAAAGGAGGGGAGGAGAGGGTGGCCTGTGGTACACAAGAGGATCTCTCCCCTTGGCTAACGTGTCCACAGATTGCCTGAGAAACAGGGTAGAGTGGCATTCCAGGAGTGGGGTTTAGCTCTTGTAGCTGGGTTCTCTTATTAACTCAATCTCAAATAATAGGGCTCTGGTTATTTTGCAGAGTGTCTCTGAAGAATGGACAGAATTGCCATGGCTAACTACAAGCTACAGTTCACAGTGGACAAACGTTGTAGTTTTCTTATTTACTTTTATAAACTTTCATTTATTTCTTTTCCCTTTTCTTTCTTTCCTTCTTTATTTGTTCCCCTTCTCCTCTCTCGTAGTTTCCGATCAGTCCTGTATGATTGCTGTTGTACAAATGCGCTTGAAATGATGTCTGATATGTAGTGTTCTCTTTTTTTTTCTTTTTTTTCTCTTTTAAGACATGAATGTTTCAGTGTTTTGATTTTTTTTTTCTTCAATAATTTCTGAAAATGTCAATCTCTCAAAATTTACAGCTGCCCACAGGCCAAAAAGGGGGTAACGAATTGACCCGAGAAAATTAAAGAATTCAGTTAACAGGCGACGTATGCCTTTTAATTCCTATCTTTTCTTCATTTTTTTCTATTTAATACTTTGAATTAGAAGGTAGAAATGTGTTGGCAAATGAATAGCGCATTTAAAGATTGCATGATTAAAGAGGGCCCTTGAGCTAATGTTAGCTACGTGCTGTAAAGTGATTCTTTGGAGTAGCTGCTTTGACCGTGGTTTTGTGTCTTTAACAGTCTGTAAAAGCATTTTGAAGCGGGGGCCAACTGTTGTAAAGTACATTAGAGAAGCTCTTGATTTGCATGTTTACACCATTTAAGTTTAATTTTGCTACTACCTGCCAAAGCATTCGTAAAGTTCTGTGTAGAAAAGAAGCCTTTTGCTTTGACTGTGTTGCTGGTGCAATAAGCAGCTGACCTTAGTAAAGGTGAAACATGAAGATAAGGTGTTAGGGGTGTGACTCAAGTTGTCGTTTTTAGGAGGCTCAGGTTGGTGAAGGTGCTGACCTGGGTCTTGTTTCTGCTTTTTAGAGATGCACGTGTGGTTAAGGACATGGCAACGGGGAAATCTAAAGGATATGGCTTCGTCTCATTCTTCAATAAATGGGTAAGCTGCAGCATGGGCTCCAGTGTCCCCAAAAAGCAGGCAGTGATTTTCAGCAGCCACTATGGGGAGGGAGCATACCTGGTCCTAATCTGTGTCTGTAGCTAGTTTCCCTGCCTGCAAGGAGAATGCTTTTCTCTCTGTCACAATGCTCTACTGCTGCTTTAGTGTTCCTGAACACAAGGGACATCCAAGTAGATGATAGACTGAGGTGACAGTAACAGTCAGGAGGGTCTTAGGCCTCACCGTGCCCTTCTCCCTGCTGAAATCTGCTTCCTTTGAAATAGGATTTCTTCCAGCACATCACAGTTGTCAAGGAGGGTCATTACTTTGGCTCTATCACAAAAGGAAGAGATGCTAACGACGGGTTTTCTTCTCTCCCTCTCATGGCCAGGATGCAGAGAACGCGATTCAGCAGATGGGAGGTCAGTGGCTTGGTGGAAGGCAAATCAGAACGAACTGGGCGACAAGAAAACCTCCGGCTCCAAAGAGTACATATGAATGTAGGTCCTCAAACCCTGTGTTCAGTTCTGGGCCCCTCACTACAACAGAGACACTGAGGTGCTGGAGCGGGGCCAGAGAAGGGAATGGAGCTGGTGCAGGGCCTGGAGCACAAGGGTGATGGGGAACGGCTGAGGGACCTGGGGGGTTCAGATGGAGAAGAGAAGGCTCAGGGGGGACCTGATCACTCCCTACAACTGCCTGACAGGAGGATGGAGCCAGGAGGGGCTGGGCTCTGCTCCCAAGGAACAAGGGATGGGACAAGAGGAAACGACCTCAAGCTGCACCAGGGCAGGTTTAGATGGAGCTGAGGAGCAATTCCTTCCCCAAAGGATGCATTCAAACAGGCTGCCCAGGGTAGGGCTGCAGTCACCATCCCTGCAAGTGTTCACACACCCTCAGTGCCATGGGTTAGTGGTGGCCTGGGCAGTGCTGAGGAATGGTTGTACTGGATGAGCTTAAAGCTCTTTTCCAACCTGGTTGATTCCATGATTCTCCCTGATTCATGTCTTCGCCAACCTTCAGCTGTCCAGGACAACTCTGGCTTTGTAACTCCATTCCCTTGCTTTTAGGGCTTGACACAAAGAGGGACTGCATCAAATTTCACTGGAGAGATCCTAAATTAGGTGTATGGGACCTACTTGATAGGTGTGGGCAGGTCATGCTCCACATCTCACGGGATTAGAATTCCTACATAATGTCTGTCTGATCCACTGATAAGCTCTGTAAAATCTCTTCCAGCAAACACCAAACAACTGTCTTATGACGATGTGGTCAACCAGTCCAGCCCGAGCAACTGCACCGTGTACTGTGGAGGGGTCACCTCGGGGCTCACAGGTACTGTGCCTTCACGCTGCAGTCACACGGAGCATGGTGAATAACAGCATGGTCACCTCACTTTGCTGCTCTGTTTCTTCCTGCTTCAGAGCAGCTGATGCGCCAGACCTTTTCTCCCTTCGGGCAGATCATGGAAATCCGAGTGTTCCCAGATAAAGGCTACTCCTTTGTACGGTAGGCAAAGGATGTGGGTGGATGAAGGTGATGGCAGTGATGGTATCACACGTTTTGGTGCTGTGGTGCATGGGGGGGTGGGTGTGAAAGCTTCACAGCAGCTTTCTGGGACAGCAGCCTCATCTGAGGAGGGACTTAGGGATTGTGGCAGCAGTAAAGAAAACCTCTTGGCCCAGTCTAAACTGGTGCAGAGCCCTTCATGGATGGGATCTATCTGTTGTGATTTCACAGCAGAGACAGACAGTCAAGCTTGAGAGGCTTTCTCTGAAGCGTCCTCATCTCTTTGTTGTTGAGGCTTCAGGTAATAAAACCCAATTGTGAACTGATTTACTCCCCATGCTGCCAGATTTCCTGGATTTGTTCAGGGACAATTATGACACTGATGCAGGAAAACCAACACTGAGACAGGGAAAAAGGCCTCCCCCAGCTACCATGGAGGGAACGGGATAAGGATTGTGTGTCCGGGCTAGTGTCCATCACATCCCAGATCCAAGTGGAGCTGTCTGGGCATTCCTGCTGGCAGTTACACTCGGAGGCAGTGGTTTATGTTGGCACAACTTCTGTTCAACAGGTTCAATTCCCACGAGAGCGCCGCGCATGCGATCGTGTCCGTCAACGGGACGACTATAGAAGGACATGTAGTGAAGTGCTACTGGGGCAAGGAGACGCCAGACATGATCAATCCAGTCCAGCAGGTCAGAACTTCCACACTGCGGGCTTTGCTCGTGAGTCTTTGCTAGAAACCCATTCAGGGGCTGTAAAATCCACCTGTGTGCCAGTTAGAGTTGACACAGTGCATGTCACCTAGGGCTTGTATCATAGAATCACAGAATCCCAGAGTGGTTTGGGTTGGAAGAGGCCTCAAAGCTCATCCAGTTCCAACCCCCTGCCACGAGCAGGGACACCTTCCCCTAGAGCAGCTTGCTCCAAGCCTGGCTATTAGAGTTCAAGAGGGATGTCCAACCAAGCACCCATCTCTGGCTGTTCTGGTGTCACTGTAACAGCCAGCCCCCCTCAAAGAGGGTCTCGGGGGTGTGTGTGTCCCACCAGTTGACACAGACCACCACCTAACACCCGGGCGTTCTCCCCTTGCAGAGCCAAGTGAGCTACCCACCGCCATACGGGCAGTGGGGGCAGTGGTACGGCAGTGCCCAGATCGGGCAGTACGTGCCCAATGGCTGGCAGGTCCCTGCCTATGGAGTGTACAGCCAAGCATGGAATCAGCAGGGGTTTAGGTGAGTACTGGGGCTTTGTGTGAGAGGGGTTTGCCTTCTGGGGGGAGGTGATATTCCAGGTCCATAGCAGTACACAAACTGCCAAGACACCTCGATGCTTTATTACATAGAAGCACAGAAGGGAGCTTAAAGCTCCTCCAGCTCCAACCCCTGCCACGGGGAGGGACACCTTCCACTGGAGCAGCTTGCACCAAGCCCCTGTGTCCAACCTGGCCTTGAACACTGCCAGGGATGGAGCATTCACAATATCCATGTGCAACCCATTCCAGTGCCTCCGTACCTTCACAGGGACTTACCTTCACAGGGACCTTCTGCCTTATCTCCAACCTGAACTCCCTCTGTTTCAGTCTGAACCCATCACCCCTTCTCCTATCCCTGCAGTCCCTGATGAAGGGTACCTCTCCAGCATCCTTGTTAGCCCCCTTCAGACACTGGTGTTTTGATTTCAGCTATATGATGATTTGGGGTGGGATGTGGATCCACACCCCCCTGTTCTGCATTCCCTTCTCCCTCATTACCACCTCATCTCCCGTTTCCCCAACAGCCAGACACAGTCTTCAGCAGCGTGGATGGGCGCTAACTACAGCATGCAGCCACCCCAGGGGCAGAACGGGAGCGTGATCACCAACCAGACGGGATACCGTGTGGCAGGGTTTGAAACACCCTGAGGGAGGAGAGCGCCGGGAGACTCCCAGAGGTGTCTGTCACCACCAGGATTTATCCCATCGAGCGGTGGATGCCATGTATTTATTTAAGCAAGAGGAGAAACGGGGTTTGGGGTTGGGGAGGGGGAGGGAAGAAAAAGGAGAAAAACCCCACAAAACAGCATTTTTTTGATCCTGAAATTATCATCCCCATTGTTTAAAAACCAAACCAGAATCCCACGACACAAGATGCTGGATAGCCGCCGACTTTTGCCTTCTTTTTCCTCCTTTCTGTGCTTCCTAAACCCCTGCGGGTTTGGAAACGCAGCCGAACGCAGGGACTAAGTGCCACCAGGACCGGGGGGCAGCACATTGCACAACGTTGAACCTTTTTTGGGGTTTCTTGAGTGGTTTTCTTGGCTTTCCTGGGAAGCAGTGTGTGCCGTTGGCCTTCCCAACGCTTCCCACCAATGTATTATAAACCGCTGTACAAAACCCATCCTTAACAAACACAGTTAAGCCAAAAGCGTGTGGATCCTGGCGCCTTTTAAACACCCCTCTTGTACAAAGCCCTCCGTCCCTCCACTTTTGTTACACTGGGGGTTATTGTTTGGATGCTAAGTTATTGATCTACATCATTTTTATAGCTCAGTGTCTTTCAGGGTGGGCTCAGCCTCAGCTCAGCACCAAGGGACAGCAGAACTCCTGTTTTCACTCTACCACGAAGGCAGGGTCTTGGTTTCCTTATTGGTTGGGTTCTTTTTTTACTGATTTCTACATGGACATGTACCGGTTCTGTAAAATATTTTAGCAACTTCAGGTTTTGCACAACCATTTGTACGTCTCCTTCTTTAAAAGGTGGGACACGGAGTCCTGAGCGCGTGATTTCTGCCTCAAATACCCCCTTTTCTGGCCTGTGGATGTTGAATGGGATGCTCTAGGGGCAACGTTCTTTGCTTAGTTTGAAGAATGGTATAAAACTGCCCCTAGCAGGGGAAGGTGACCAAAGCTCTTGGTTTTGGCACTGTTTAGAGGCTAAAAATGGCTTTTTCTCTCCTACCTCTTGACCAGACTTCAGAAAGATGCCAAAAAACACCCAAAGCAAGGGAAAAAAACACCAAATGTGAGGCAAAACCCACCAAACCTGGCGGTCTGTGTGTGTTTTCTGGTCATACCCAGTGACCCCGCGCTTTCCTCGGGCCGAAGCGGGCGGGAGGAAAAGGGCTGCTCGGGTAATTTTGGGGTGAAAAAGCTTGAAATCGGTCAATTCCCACGAGCGCCTCAGGGGGGCAGCTGAGCGCAGCATGAGCGAGGACTCCAACTCCCAGCATCCCCCGCTGCCCCCGCACACACGTGACTTCCTCGGACCAATAGGAGCGGGCGCCATGGCGGAGGCGGGCCGGCGTCGCGGCGGTGCGGGCAGGAGCGGGAGGGTGCGCGCCGCCGGTAAGGCGGGGGCGGGGCCCGGCGGCAGGAAGTGACGTCAGGGGAGGATGCCGGGAGGCGGGGCGCTGTGTGGTGAGGGGGGTCCCGGTCCCGGTCCCGGTGCTTCCGACCCCGGGGGCCCGGCCTGTGGCGCTGGGGCCGGTTCCGGCCCGGCCCGCACTGAGGTGCCCGGTGCTGAGGCGTCGCTGCACGGTGACAGTGATCGCTGAGGTGCGCTGAGGGACGGGGGTGGGGTCACCGGCATCGGGAAGCGGGGCTCGCGGTGTGAACGGACAGCAAAGGGACGTGGAGGTGGTGGAGAGAGCCCAGAGGAGGCCGTGGGAGCGCTGGGGCTGCTCTGCTCTGGAGCCAGGCTGAGAGAGCTGGGCTGGGGCAGCCTGGAGAAGAGAAGGCTCCTGAAGGGGAGACCTTAGAGCAGCTCCAGTGCCTAAAGGGGCTGCAGGAAACCTGGAGAGGGGCTTGGGACAAGGGATGTAGGGACAGGCCAAGGGGAATGGCTTGAACCTGCCCGAGGGGAGACTGAGCTGAGCTCTTAGGCAGAAGCTCTTCCTTGTGAGGGTGCTGAGGCGCTGGCACAGGGTGCCCAGAGAAGCTGTGGCTGCCCCATCCCTGGCAGTGCTCAAGGCCAGGTTGGACACAGGGGCTTGGAGCAAGCTGCTCCAGTGGAAGGGGTCTCTGCCTGCGGCACTGGATTAGCTTTAAGGTCCCTTCAACCCGATCTGATCTGTGTGGGTCCATGGCACAGACATCCCCAGCCTCAGTGCCCTGGGAACGGGAGGGTTTGGCCATGGTTGGGAGCAGCGTGGGGAGACAGAGTGTGCAGAAACCAAACCTGAGCGGGTCTGGGTTGAATGGCCCCATTCCTGCCCCATTCCTGCCCCATCAACACTGGGTTTTCTCCCCATCCCTTCTGCCCTGTCATTTCCACTTCAGCGCTGCTCAGGGTGTCTTTGAGGCCCTTGTCACGCATCCCCCAGCTCCGTTTGCATCCCACATCTTTCATTTAATGTGATGTACCCCCGGGGGTGAGCCTCTCTTTGCACGCACCAAAACCTCCCTTTTCACCCCTGTTTGCCTCCTGCTGTGCTGAGCCTGGAAAATGGCAGGGGATGAGTGTTGGGGTGGGTGCTTGGTCACACAGGGTGATGCTGTGTCCCACCTGGGCATCACTTTCCTCCCCTGTGACACTGCAGGGACAGGGGGCATCACCCTCATGGTGCTGTCCCTCCCATCCGTGCTGCCTCCCCGTGCTGCTTACCCCCCCCTGCTCCCTCATCTCTGCCCATCCAGGTTCTCCAGAGGATGGAGCCAGCATCGGTGAGGACCAAGGTCCCCTCCTTCCTGTCTGACCTGGGGAAAGCCACGCTCCGGGGCATCCGGAAATGCCCCCGCTGCGGCACCTACAATGGGATGCGAGGCCTGAGCTGCAAGAACAAGACCTGCGGCACCGTCTTCCGCTACAGCACCCGCAAACAGCCCAGTGTGGACGCCGTCAAGATCATCACTGGCTCCGACTTGCAGGTCTATTCAGTGAGGCAGAGGGACCGGGGACCCGATTACCGGTGCTTTGTGGAGCTGGGGGTGTCCCAAACCACCATCCAGACTGTGGACGGCACCATCATCACTCAGCTCAGCTCCGGCCGCTGCTACGTGCCGGCGTGCCTGAAAGCAGCCACGCAAGGTGTGGTGGAGAACCAGTGCCAGCACATCAAACTGGCCCTGAACTGCCAGACTGAGGCCACCCCGCTCGCCTTGAAGAGCTCGGTGCTCAACTCCATGCAGGCTTCACCCGAAACCAAGCAGACCATCTGGCAGCTGGCAACAGAGCCCACGGGGCCGCTGGTGCAGCGCATCACCAAGAACGTGCTGGTGGTGAAGTGCAAGGCCAGCCAGAAGCACAGCCTGGGTTACCTGCACGCCTCCTTCGCCCAGAGGGTGAGCACCAAGACGCTGGCAGAGCACAGGTTCTCCTGCTCCTGCCAGGCTCCAAAGCCCATCAGAGGCAGCGTGGCCGAGGAGGAGACGCCGGCACCGCAGCGCTGCATTCATTTCTTCGCCTGCCTCTGTGCCTTTGCCAGCGATGAGAGCTTGGCACAGGAGTTTGCTGATGTCCTCGCCTATGACTCTGGTGGTAGGTGAGGGGGGATGAGACATGCAGAGGATTTGCAGGGGGCATCATGGGGCTGCTTGCTCTGTTCTGCTCCCCTCCCTCCTCCTCATGCCCTGGCAGGTTCCTCACTGTTCCCTCCTAGCTGGGGCTTTGTTTCCTGCCCTGTCCCTCTGCAGGGAGAAAGCTTCTTGTGGAATGATCCCTCCTGGACATGGCAGCTTGCTCCTGCATCCTGGAGTGTGGAAGCAGAGTGGGTGCTCCCTGTGATCCCCTGGGAGCCAGTTGTGGGGATGAGGAGCAAGTGCAGAGGAGGTCACAAGGATGCTCAGGGGCTGGAGCCAGGCTGAGAACACTGGGGCTGTTCAGCCTCGAGAAGAGAAGCTTTGTGGAGACCTCAGAGCAGCTCCTGGGTCTGAAGGGGGCTACAAGGATGCTGGAGAGGGGCTCTTCATCAGGGACTGTAGGGATAGGACAAGGGGTGATGGGTTCAGACTGAAACAGGGGGAGTTCAGGTTGGAGATAAGGCAGAAGCTCTTCCCTGTGAGGGTGCTGAGGCGCTGGCACAGGGTGCCCAGAGAAGCTGTGGCTGCCCCATCCCTGGCAGTGCTCAAGGCCAGGTTGGACACAGGGGCTTGGAGCAAGCTGCTCCAGTGGAAGGGGTCCCTGCCCGTGGCAGGGGTTGGAGCTGGGTAAGCTTTAAGCTCCCTTCCAACCAAACCAATCTTCACTCCAGAAGGTGCCCCTGGCTAATCCCATTGTGTCTTTTGGCACCCAAAGAGAGTGACAGAGGTGACATGAGGGCATTGTGTTCCCCTTAGTGTGCCCCACATAGAAGCGTGTCTGCAGGGCCAGGAGGGCTTTGGGGCTTCTCTAAGGATGTTTGGGGGCATTTCAGAGGAGCAGTTACTGATGTGGGCAGGGGAACCCAGGACCTCCATGTCCCTGCAGCACTGATGCATGTAGCGTTGATGCTGTTAGGGACAGCAGTGTGTTTGTCCTAGGGGTGAAGGGGATGGCGGTGCCGCAGGCGGTCGGTGGTCCCCAGTCCCTGGTGCAGGCTGGAGAAGCAGCTGCTGCCAAGCCCAAGAAGAGGAAAAAGGACCCAGCACCCGGTGAGCATCAGCTGGAGGCTCTGTGGGATGAGGAAGGTGTGGGCTGAATGCATAAGCCATTGTGTGGGGTGCCCATGGAGCCCCCGCACTTGTGCCCTGATGCTCTCTCAATCCATCGCTCAGGGGCACAGCCCAGCAGCCTTCTCCCTGCGCAGGACCTGGCTCATGGCAACCCCAGGAGAAGCAGCCTGAAGAAGCCAGCAGTTGCCTCCTCCTCGCTCAAGAGACAAGGTGAGCCTTGGCCACGCATCTCACGGGAGGCTGGGAGCACTCGGGACCGGGTGGATGCTGGGAGCCGTTCAGTTCATGCTGTCATAGAATCGTTTAGGTTGGAAAAGACCTTTAAAGATCATCAGTTCCAACCATAAACTTCACAGCCCTGAGCTCTGATCTCCATCCCCTTTCTCCTCCAGGCTGTCCCCAGCTGCTGGACGAGTCCCAAGTGACCTTCTCCTTCCAGGAGTGGCTGGCCAGTGTCACCGAGCGCATCCACCAAACCATGCATTACCAGTTCGAGGGTACGGCTTTGGGGACCCTTTGGGCATCAATCCTCTCCCTTCCATGCACAACCTCCATCATGAAGCTCTGGGCAGTGTTCAAGGCCAGGCTGAACAGAGCATTGGGAGACATGGTCTAGTGTGAGGTGTCCCTGCCTGTGGCCGGGGGTTGGAACTGGATGATCCTAAGGTCCTTTCCAGCCCAACCCATTCTGATCCTATGAAATAACTGCTGGCCCCAAGCAATTGCTTTGAGAAGTTTTTGTCTGCTTTGGGTCATTCCCCTGAACATGGACTGTGTATTGGCAGTCTGGTGCTGGTGTTTATGCTGAGAAGGGAGAATCAGCTGAGGGGGATCAGCCCTTTCCAAGCACCATAAGAGCAGTGAGTGTCACCCCAGGCAAACCCACCCATCCTGCTGTGTGTCACTGTGAGCATCGCTGGCCTCCAGCACGCTGCTGGCACTGACAGCAGAGGCACAACCTGCTGTGCTTGGTGAAGGGGTGGACTCCGTGGTCCCAAGAGTCACTTCTAACCCAGATGTGTTCTTAAAGGCAGTGAAGTTGTCACCACCCAGCTTTGCAAACAAGGCCCCATCACTGCACGCCCCAGGCCAGGGCAGACAGGGGCATACTAGGACAGCAATGGAGGGGTTGGGCAAAGGAT